CAAGTTCTAGATTTTGATTTTTGCAAGCTAAGTGCAAAGGTGTTCTTGAACAGTTAGAAGCGTAGTAATGCAAAATTTTGAATTTTCGATATTCTTCAACGTCTAGAAGTGGTTGAATCGCATTATGATTATCATTATTACAAGCTACCATAAATGGAGTCCAAACTGTTGAATCCACAGTTTCAATATTTGCACGATGTTTCGAAAGATATTTTATTGCAACGTGATTGTCATTATTGCAAGCTATCATGAGTGGAGTCTTACCCTCTCGATCTACAGCTTCGATATTGGCATGATGATCCAATAAACATTTTATTGCATCATTATTTCTATTTCTACAAGCTGCAATAAGTAGAGTTGTTCCTAGTTCATCTACAGCTTCGATATTAGCATGATGATCCAATAGACATTTTATTGTGTCATAATTGGATTCCCAACAAGCCAACATAAGTGGAGTTGTTCCTAGTTCATTGACAGCTTCGACATTGGCATGATGATCTAAAAGACATTTTACTGCATCGTGATTGGCACTCGTGCACGCTATCATGAGTGGAGTTTTATTCATATTGTCCACAGCTTTAATATTCGCATGGTGTTGTAGTAATAGTTCTATAAGCAAAACAGTCATATTTTCCGTTGAACGTCAAAGGTAATTGCCGTAGAAACTAAGTGAAGAGATGTAGAACGATTATTATCAACAGCAAAAGGATCAGCATGATTATCTAATAAGTATTTAGCTGCTATGTAATTACAATTATAACAAGCCATCAAAAACGGAGTTCGGCTAATCGAACCTCTAGCTTCAATATTGGCATGATATTGTAACAATAATTGTACAAAACTTATACAACGGCCATTCCGGTTAACAAAGGCTGTCGATTAAAGAGGTGTATAAACCAGCAAATCCATAGTATTGGGGTAAGCATGATTTTCCAAAAGACATTTAACCGCTACATCATTACCTTCGCGACAAGCTGTAAAAAGTGGAGTCCAACAACATTCATTCTCAGCCGCTTCAATATTTGCGTTGTGTTGCAGTAGTAGTTCTATTATTGTTACGGTTACGTCACTTTTCGATGTGCAAGCTCGATGAAGAGGAGTGAACATTTCATCGTCGACAGCATTCGGATTTTCGCCGTTTTTCAGCAAAATTTTAACAAGTTCTAGATTTTGATTTTTGCAAGCTAAGTGCATAGACATGCTTCAGCAATTATCAATATGGTTAATGGTTGCCATATCTGAAATTAGGATGCTCGGCAACTAAAAAAGATAATGTCATATTGAATATTTTAATATCTTTTTTTGATTAAAATAGTACATTTTTTACTTATGCTAAGCAAGAAAATTAGACTAGTTTAAATCACAGATAAAGTCACCTCCTGAGCCGAAGATGGAGGTGGTAAACACGTAGAATAAGATAGTCTGATTGTCTTTTCTAGGGGTAGATATAATCTTTCAACATATCGGTGCGGAAAGTTCGACCTTTGTTAAATGAAAGAGTGAGCTGTTTATGTCGGTATGATGAAAAAAATCTTTGCTACAATGATAATTATAAAGTTTTAGATACTAACCTGACCTTTCTTATTGTATGCTGGATATTTAGAATGTAGAATCTCATATACTTCACCACACTGTTTTTATATACTGCAATCGAATTGAATTATTTTTTTTTTAAATTTTGTGCTTATTAATTTCTGTTTTATGCAAATTTTTCATTGAGTTATTTTGAAACTACAGTAGACTGTTAAATGCAATATAATGATTTCAACTAGCAAACACAGACGTTTATAGAAGATTAAAGAAGTCTAACTACTAAGCGAGTAGTTACACTGTTATAAATAAATGTTAGGACAGTCTGTCTTACTCTTTCAGAATTTTATATTATTCTTATAGTATCGGCTACAATGTTACGCTACGTTGTACTGAAAACTACCGACCTATAAAGCCGAACTTATGAAATAATGTTTTAAATGTTCGTTCTTCATTACACAATGTTTTGTTTTGAGTCTGCTCAGTGGTTTAATGTTGTATTGTTTAATGGTGATTCCTATAGAAACCAATGTACACGAATCAATTTCCATTACCAGAATCTCGAACAATGGCTTAAGACGATTTTAATTATTTGTTTTTTAATAGTGATGTGATATTCCAATGAGATTTTAACATCTGACATCTTGCTAGTAACTTTTCACCAAAATTTACAATTCACTTAAATTTACTGCAAATTTGTAGCACAATTGTTGACGACGAATCGAAGAATTTTGTTCGACGGCTCAGTAAGTGAGTGCAAATTTCTGTAACTCTGGAATGACCGGTAGCCACTTTTTTTTCATTTTTAATTATTAAGAAAAGTGTAATAAAGAGTCGGTGTAGGATGAAAAAAATCGCATCCCCTATAGGATCAACGCTTATAAGCATTGATTTAGATCAACTCAAAACATTCACAAAACTCAAATTAGAAATTGTTTTCCAAAAACTGAACGACATCCTATACGATCAAATTCTATCCGAGTTACAGAATATCACACAAGCAATTTGAAAAAGCGAATGTCATTACAGAATAGTCCATCTAATATTAAGAAAGCTGGAGCATCAAGTTTATCTTTGTCTGACGATTAGTCAACAAGTTTTTGCATGTGAGGTACAAATTTGTAGTGGTGTCATTTGTTTACTGTTAATTTTCGATGAATTCAACGATATCTGTTGCTATCTAAACTCTCGATAATGAATAGTGTTCGCTCTTTTGAAAAGAGTTTTAGTGTTTTCCTTCGGGTTAATCCAGTGAAGAATGTCCGTTTCTCGGTTTAATAGGTAAATTTTCGCTAATTTATAAAAACGGACATTCTTCTATAGACATTTACTCATACAATAATAATATAATCCAATCTTTTTTAATGTCGTTTCATCATAAAGTCGTAACTTTACCAAATTTTTTAACTATTCATTATCGAAAGTTTAGATATCAGCAGATATCGTTGAATTCATCAAAAATTAACAGCAAACAAATAAGACCACTACAAATTTGCACCTCATGTGCAAAAACTTGTTGACAATCCCGTTGAATATGCTCGTAATAATTACAATTTCAACGACTGTGTAATAGACAATTAACATAAAAGCTTGAGTTACAGTACTAAAAATGTTTGTATATAAAGAATATAGGAAGCATATAAACTTTACACATTTTTTTTTTGGGCTGCTTGCAAAATTTTTACAAAAATTTGATGAATATTAAAAAAAATATTTTTTATCATATAACATTATTTATGATGTCTTAAAACTGCCATCTGTAAAAAAAAACGTAGAAAATTTTGTAATAAACGATATATTGCTAGAAAAACGAGATTATACATGATAAAAAATAATCGAAGCACTAACTGATGATTAGTTTTTCTTTAATATTTTATAATTAATTAATCAAAGATTAATGAATAATTAAATATGATCAATAATAATTCTTCTGAAGTACAAAAGAAATATTGTAATAACCGGGTAAATAAAACGTTTTTGAGTGCTTTAAAATCGAGACAATGTTAATCAAATGGGTGAAGTCATATTAAAACACTTATAATGTTTTAAAATAAAACACCAAAATTTACAGTGTCATCATACATATAATCTAAGCCCATTTTCGACTTTAATTTTGTTGTTTCATCCGCTTTACCAAAGTTGAGATTAAAAACAGATCTTACAAAATTTATTTTGAACCTCCAAAATGTATTAATTCTATACAAGCAATGTTATAAAAATTTATGATGACATTGATGACCAAAATAAGATTCTTAGATCAGTTTAAGACATCAAAATCTTCAATAAAGTTGATGGTTTCCAAAATGGAATTAAACTATAGGTGGCAATTGGAACATCAAAGGAATTGAAGATTTTGAAGTTGAAACTGAACTTTAAATTTAATCTCGGGTTAACATTATGGTTACTAAATTATAAGGTATAAACAAGGCCTTCAATCTCTGTTGTTATGTACCTTACCTATCTACTTATATTCTTAAAGAAACATTAGTTTTACAATTTTAGAAAGTCAAGATTTCTCTACAGAGAAACCCCAGTTTTTACATGCATTCCAAATCCTTCACAGAAGACCCTTTTTTCAAATCAACCCTGATTTCTGAAATACGAACCTTGGACTCATCCCAATTTCTCCAACTTTCGCTTACATGAAAACACTAACTTCAACCCTACAAGCTAGATTTTAACCTCTCCCTTGGACCTTCTTGTTAGCCCCTTAAGCTACAGGGAAATTTCAGTACAAGTCCTTCACAGAAGACCCTTTTTTATATCAACCCTGATTTCTAAAATATGCGTCTTGGACTCATTCCAATTTCTCCAACTTTCACTCACATAAAACACTTCTTTTACCTGACCTGACCTGACTGCTGGTCCATATATCGACCACTCCTACAGCCTAAAGGTTAAATAAAGATCCTTTCTTCAATATCCTTTGATTTATTTAGAATCTATCATCTGAACTATAGTTCAGTAAGGGTGCAATTTAATTAGCAAATCTAATCTCCCTTTTTGAACCTGGGTTTTTTAAAGTAAAATTACCCAAGAATTCCGAAAAAACCATTCGCAGACATAAAAAAAATGTACACGTCATTGTGTTTTTTTGTTATAAACAATTTTTGCCTGCTCGAGTTACCATGCCAATTTGTTGGTATTATAGAATTCTTCCTAATCGATCTTAAAACGCTTTTTTAGCATAATATCGAAAAATTCGATCGTTGTTCTTTTTCTCCTATTTATTACATAGTTCGTTGTCAATTCAAGTCTTTTATTTATTATTATTTTCAAAATTCATCAGTACTATGCTAAGATATTGCACCCTTACTGAACTATACTCAGATCTTCTAAATCGCTCATACAACAAATGCTCTGTAACATTGTGTACTTACTTATTTGACAATAAACGAATAGATTTAAATAAAATATCAACCAGTCATTGGGAATACAACGTTGTTAATTAATTTAATTATTTTTTTTAGATTATATTACAAACCCGGAGTGGCAATGAACAGTGACCCACAGTTCATCCTTGGAGATGGCGATGGAACAGTCAATTTAAGGAGCCTCGAAGGATGTCTCCATTGGCAGACTAAACAAAAACAAAAGATTTATTATAAAACTTATGGCAGCGTTGACCATATGGATATTCTAAGAAATAGGCAGGTTCTAGATTACATAGAAGATGTGATGAAAACTTGACTCGTTTAAATACATTGTTTTTTAAAATGTATTTTATAGTTAATTATTTTTATAAATTGTTAACGAGTTCCATTTTATCAAACTAATGATGTAATTAAAGGTTGAAAACAAAGTAGGATAAATTAATTGTTTATTACAAGTGTGCAATTAAAAATTTGAATTTTGTTTTATTTAATTTTTGTAACAAAATATTTTAGCTATTGGCTCTCTATTTTTAATACTCAACCATGAAACCTCATTTTGTTTGTAGGATTTAGTAGAAATATTGATAAATTAGTGTAAAAATAAACATCAATTATTAATATTAAATTGTAAATATCTTCCATAACAGTTTTAATTGTATTATAAATTACTATTATTGTTATATATAAGTTTAATTTTAATAAAAAAAAATGAAAATAGATGTGATATTAAAATAATAATAAAAAAATGATTTTTTATGCAACATTTGTTGTTTTATTTTATGATAAAAAATAATAACAATAAAAATAATTAACCCTCCCCCTCCCTCCTCGATCACAATTCTCTCTAATTTCATGTGAAAAATTGAAAATAAATAAAGATACTGAAATGTGTAGTTTTATTTGTTTTAAAAATTGCAATAATAAAAAAAAATTTCATTTTTTGTGTGTAGACACATATAGTTTTTTTATATAAATTCGCCGTAAAAACAAAGATTTTAAAAAAAAATTCCTGGAAATCGGATGATTTTTCGATTTTGTACAGCGTTTATGATAACAGTTGAATTCATAAAACTATATCAAATCTTTAAGTGAGATAAAAAAATAATGAATAGACATTTTTTAATGATTTTTTTTTTCAAGAGGTTTCAGGTAGATTAACAAAAAAAATGTATGAACTTCATTTAATGGTTTGCAAAAAAGTTATGAACGATTATATTTAAAGAAGGATTACCTCTGTTTACATCCTTTTCTGTAATATCCGCGGTCAAAATATCCTCAAAAAAAATATCTCTCATTAACAATATCCTCTTATATAATATTCCCTTTCGAAATACATTCTTATTAGATGAAAACATTCGGTTTTAAGCTTTAACCCCTTCTCACAACCACCATTACTTTCACAGTTCTAATTCACCACTTATTTATTTACTACAGGAGTAAAATATATTAATTTTGTATCACAATTTATTTTATTATCAATTCTATAAAAAAAATTTTATTATTCTAGCATATTTAAAATTTCTGAAGATTCTCAGAAATAGTTTTTTTTTTAAATAAAAATGTATTATTAGGGAATATTATATAAAAAGATATTTTTAACGGAGGATATTTTCTTAGGATATTTTGACCGCAGATATTATAAAAAGGGATAATAACAGCCGTCACCCAAAGAAGTGCGTTTATGATCACATTTGAAGTCATAAAACTATATGAAATTTCTAGGTGAGATATTTTCCATATTTTTTTTTATAAATCCGCCGTAAAAACAAAGATTTAAAAAAAAAATCATTGAAATCGGATGATTTTTCGATTTTCTAGAGCCAAAAAACGAGGGGACTGCGAAAGTATAAAATTACCTAAAATGGTACTTTATTTAAAATAAGTAGTAATATACAGAGTAAATAAAACTCTTTACTATGTAAATGATGTTAATTAATCTCATTCAAGCTTTGCCGGCAGATTAAATCGTTCTAAGATCGATCATAATATGGCGCTAACATCAGTTTGTTAATGAAAGCCGATTGTTTATCACAAGCTACCACGAAACTCCAAAAACAGTGAAAATAAACAAACAATTCTTCTTTTAATTAATAAATCAATATTAATCATAATTTCGTGTTAAATTTATTTTTAAAAAGCTTACTTTAATTTAAATCATACTTTAGATCTTATTGTTAACCTCTCAGTAGGTTATGATCATCTAGTGACCACTCATGTGGATGTTTTCTTTTTTTAATTAAATTATTTAACAAATTTACGATATAATCAGTTATTTCATTAGTATGTACCTCTTGATAAGAACCCAAACAATTGCTCAGAGATGTTGTCATCGAGTATTTTCTGACATAAAATGCTATTCCAAGATATTTTCTTGTGAAAGGAATTTAAAGGTTAGTAACAATTATTTATAAGTAATAAATATCAGTATTCAATACAATATTACTAAACAATAATAATGTTAAAATTCCTTGAATTATATAGAATAATTATTTAATTTCATTTACAGGCTTTATCATCCATTCAGTCTCGATCTTACAGCAAAAAAGAAGATGTGACACTGAATGCTGAACTTATTTATCATGGCAAATTGTCCAAAAGTATTAAATATGTCAAGATATTTTCAATAAGTACATCTGCAATAAGTCTTGCCATTCAACCATGGATTTTTCCAAAAATTATAGAAACTGGAAGTATTCCAGCTTTGATGACAGGAATAATCATTTTTGGAGGCTTTGCTTTCATTACACCTTTATTTCTACATCTAATAACTAATCGATATGCACTTGATTTATATTATGACAAACGACGAGATGTGTACGTTGCAACAACATATACCTTATTTGCTACCATAAGACAGGTAAGATTCTCTTTTTTATGCTCATTTTGCCATTGAAATGTAAATAATTTATTTATAAACTCATTTTATAGATTGAATTTACACCAGATGATATAACAAAACCAGGTAATATGCAGTTGATGACGACTTGTTTCGTCAAAAAGAAGCCAATATTTTTTGATTACAATGATTTCAAAGATTTAAATCACTACAGTCGTATACTTGGTTATGATAAACCGATGGATTTTATGTTGAATGAAAAACCAATCCATCAGTCTATCAATGCACCTTCTAACAATGAGGTCAAGAAGGATATGTAAATAAGTCAATAAAATAATTAATAGCTATATTGTGTTATTGTCATTATTATTTTATTAATATAATTGACTAGAGTTGATAATAAAAATCTTAGAATAGCTGGTTTTCATGTTAATTAGATAAATACTTCTTTAAATAAGCTTTTAGCAATGCATTTTACGACCAAAGAAAAATAGGGTGGTTAAAGTAATGGATAGCTATGATCCAAAAAAATGGAAAAATTTTTAATTTAATAAAACTATAAAAAATATGATGTAGTAAAATATTGTTTATTTTTAAAAGCAAGATCTGGTTGATTGAAAAGAAAAATAAATCTTTTTAGCAAATATTTATCATGATTTTTTGTTTATCTTTTCAACTCAACTGTCGTCTATTCGTGTGTTTACCTTAATTTGAAAAATTATCAATCATGCAAATTCCTATTGGTTTATCAATAATGATTATTACGAATACAATAAATAATTACAAGCATTAAAAGTCTGGATTGTTGAAGGACTAATGGATAGAAACATTTGTTAATGATGATGGTAATTATTATATTATTAACTTCCCATTAGAAAGTTATTGTAATCGAGTCGATTGGTGAAATTTGAATTTTCAACATATCTCCACGTTTCAAGATATTTGCAAGCATACTGACCAAGTTTTAAAATTATTTGTGTGTGTACGTACGTATGTCTGTACGGATGTCAGCATTTTTTTCGTTTTCGAGATCTCAAGAACGGATTGAGATATCAACTTCAACTAAAATTTATTCGAAAGATATTATTATAAAGAAAATCTGAAAGAAATTTGAACAAATTCAGTCGAGCCGTTTTTTTCATAACAAAAAAACTAATAATAAATAAATGAAAAGATGAACTATTTAAAATACCTTTAAGCGGAAGAATAACAATTTTATTCGAAAATGAAGTCAATATTGACTGGACATTCTAATAATTTGTTAAAATATTTTATTTATATCAACAATGTTTATTTTTCATTGTGGATATTAAATAAAACGTTGTTGTAGATTAGATTTTTATGCAGTATGTTCCAATATGTTAGATGATAGTTCGATTAAATTATAATTTAATAAATAATTTGTTTTTTTTTTCATTATCATTTATTCTTCATCAACTTAACGGCTAATAAATCACATTATTACAGTTTTTATTAACTATTGTAAATTCTTATTTGATCTATAAATCTTGAAAAATATTTACAATTGGAGATTAACAATTATTTTGTCATTACATAATTGATACTAATTATTATTTTTATTAACAAAATAAATTACTAAATTTTTTTTTTTGTAAATTCATTTGTTTTTACTCTATCATTAATATCCGTTGAAATATTATAAAAAATTGAAGTAAATGATGATAAAATATTACGACAAAAATGATTTAAAAAAAAAATAAATCACAATAAATAAATTACAGTCATGGAAATTAAGAAAAAAATTAAATAAATGTATTTATGAATTAAAATAAATTATTTTATCAATGATTATCGATAATTTGATTCTTAACTTAATGCAAAAATGGCAAAATAATTAATTATTATTTTTAAGTATTAAAATTACATTATTACTATACTCTAGATGTATAGTATTTGCAAAATTTGTAATGAATAATTGACTTATGTCAACTGAATAAAAAAAAATTACTTTTTTTAAGGTAAAAAAAAAATAATTGTTTAATAATTTTAGGCTGGAAGAAGATCGAAATCATCTGAGACATGAACTATAGGCACATGAATGTCTTCAATCTGTGGAGTAGCTTTAAATTCACATAATCCTTCTTCTTTCAACTTCCATTCCCAATTCATTTTTTGAACAGCATGTAAAGATTCTGCTTCATTGTGATGCCTCAATAGCATTGATTCCTGAAAATGATTTATGATCAGTCATTTAAAAAAATTAGAAATCTTATAATATTTTCGATATAGAAAATAGCTTATTTAATAAGTGAAGGTTTCTACGCGATAAAGCTTAAACCTAAACTTTGAGCTCCAAACTTTAAATTAAACTTTAAGCATTAAACTTTAAACTAAATTTTAAGCTTTAAACTTTAAGTGGTACAGAAAAAATTGTTGAATACAATAAGTAAAAATCACATGTTCTACAATTCTTATTATCACTTTAATAAACGTATCTAATACTGGTAATGAAATAATTATCCGAATAATTAAATTCTGCGATATTTTAAAAACGAACTTCATTCCTAATTTTAATAATTAAGCTTTTTTAATATTTAATTAAAATTCATCATATGATTTTACACAAAATAGTGCACATTTAAATCAATTGATTCCATAATTAATATATAAATCATTGTTTTGAGCTGAGTTATTATAAGTCTAAAAAAAAATACTTTTGAAGAATAGACAGTTAGGATTAAATTTGCAATGCCACTATCAGATGTTATTCTAAATTTAAAAAAAAATCCCTATTTGTTTATCAAAATATTTATTATTTACCTTTATTTTTTCCCATTTGTCATCAACATCCTGCAACCAGCTTAAAAATAACCGTCCATTATATCTGGACCTTGCGTTTCTATCTTTTTCTTCCTGTTCCGGAGTAATAACATTATACACTTCTTCATCCTTGAGAATGGTACAAACAGAAAATGGTAAAGATTGATTAGCCAATGCCCTAGCAGCTCTGCCATGAACCCTGAGAATTTCTTGTTCAACCGAAAGAACAAGTTTTTCCTTTTCAACAACATGTTGCATCCTTAATTTATATCTTTCTTTTTCCTGTTCAATGTAAAGATCCTTCATTGAACTAGGAAGAGTAACAGGAAAATTGACTGTGGGTTCATTGCTAGTGTTACTTGCTAAAACATATGTACATCGATTCATCAAGTAATCTTTAAAACCTTGAGGTGGTTTTGGTTGTACAGGAAATAATCCTTTTCTTCTTCTTTCTATTTGCTTTCTAATGTTCAAAAATAACTGACAACAATTAGTTATCGGTTGATCATGAGGATGAACTTCTGGTCCTGCATTATTGGATTCATTAATGTCATTAGTGGTAGCAGTAGCAGCAGCTGCTTGGGATTCTTTATTTGATTTAATTTTCCTCTTTCTCGGATGTAATTCAACAGTTGGAGCAGTTGTAGTGACATTTGTACTAGGAGTAGATGTTGTTGATGAATTTTCCGAATTATCAGAATCCTTTGAATTTTTTTCTGCTTTTTCGTTATTTTTCTCAGACTTTTCATTACCACTCGATGACTTTGATGATGAATTTGTGGTCGTTGATTCTGTTGTTGTTGGTTTGCTTGACTCTGTACTAGTTGTTTCAGGTGTTGGTGAATTATGACGTTGTTGTGGTGATGGATTATTTGAACGATCTGTTGATGTTGATGGCAATGGAGATGAATTGGAGAAGTTACCATTATTTGATTGATTTGATGATGAATCTTTTGATGCTGCTGAACCATTACCACCATTCCCACTCCTAAAATAAATCAATTAATTGTTAAAAGCTCAATAAAAAATACTAAATAAATTATTTAACAGAAAAACTTTTTATCAATATATGAAATTAATCCATAAATTAGTTATTTAATAACAATTAAGACTTGGTATTAATTAATAATAATTTAATCACATATTTGGAGTTAGCATGTAAGTATTTAATTATTAATAGTCTGAATATTTCACGAAAGTTTTTTGAATAATATAAAAATTTGAATTACCTGTGAGAACTTCTCAAAACCCTTTGATGATGAGTAGACCTTTCTTCAGTATTAGTAGTACTGAACTCTTTTTTGTCTTCAGTCTTGCTACTACTTCCAGCCTCTGTTGGACTTGTAGTTCCACCATTGGCAGTTTGTCCACTATCTTTATCACTAGCATCATTACTATTAGAACTAGGAACAACATAAGGTAATTGATGGCCTCTTGCTGATGGATTTTTGCCATTCCTCGTACCTTGTTCCTGCTCTGAAGCTGTACTTTGTGGAATAACTATCTTCAATGGCGGAACTTTGGGACCTGATCCTGATTCTGATGATTTTGGACGTTCATCTTCACCATCTGATTCAGTTGGCGCTGGTGTAGCTGTCTTAGAATTATTACCAGTAGTATTATTTGATGGCTTTGGACTGCTTGCTGTTGGTGTACTTGGACTTTTCCGGTCTGCATTAGTTGTACTTGAGGTCTGACTGCTTTTCCCAGTTGTCACATTGGCATTCTGCTTTCCTGATTTAGCACACTGTTCAACAAATGATGCAGTTACGCTTGAGCCGACCTTGTCTGACGACTAGAAACAATAATTGAGATCATGCAGTGGACAAATGCCAAAACTACTTGGATTTTACTTGTAGATTCTTGTTTATCATGCAATTTTTATTTTTTGCTGTATGATGAGAACAATAAAATCTATGAATTAAAATCATAAAACTTTGACCAAAAAAAATATTATCAACTTTTGCACTTAATTTTGTTACTAAATATCCAATAAATTATTAAAATAACATATTATTTCTGTTAACTAATTCCTTTAAAATACATTAAAGACAGAAACGTAATTATTATTCCATCAACATGACTAAAACTCTGATTTAAATATTCAACAACAACAAAACAATCAAACAAAAACCATAAAGACGTTCAACAATTGTAATTTATGTAACAAAGGATCAAACTAATTATTTACTAAAGAAGAAAAAAAAATTTAACAAAAAAAATTTTCCAACTTTCTCTTACTCGAATTACCTTTTCGGTGCCTCCAGAAGCCCGTCCAGTACTAGCTCGTCCAGAGTTAGAATTTTTAGTTCCATCTTTTGGTTCCACTTCTTTCCTTTTTTTCCTTCTATTTTCATCATCCTGTTCATCATTAGTATCATTTTCATGAGTTCTTTTTGGAGCTGGAGACCCGGTAGTTTGATTTTCAGTAGCACCAGTAGCAATAGAAGCATTAGTATTAGCACCAGAATCACTAGTGTTACTAGAAGATGGATTTGAATTGCCAGGAGAATTATTAGAACCTTGTGCTTGTCCAGTTTTACCAACATCTTTGTCTTTATCTCCACTAGGATTTGGTGATGATCCCCGAACTGGTGTTGCTTCTTTGGAGGTTTTAAATTCATAGACATCAGTACTATCAGGTGCTGATGTATTACCGGGTGTCGTTGAACCCCCTGAACTTGCTGTTGAAGTTGCAGGTGATGATGATGTCGTGGAAGACGATGATTTCGTAGTATCCATCTGTCCTTGTGTTGATCCACTTACACCCTGACGAGCGTTTGCACTTTTTTTTTCATCCCTTGCTCCTCGAACTTGGTTCAAACGAAGTGTCACTCGTGGCGAGCTTCCGGATTGTCCGGTTGCCGATCTGTCCACTGTAAATATTAATTTCAATTTAATTTCAATTTGACAATGATTTTATTTAGCTAAAAGATTTAAGTGTCATAAATTTTCTGTTATCTAAGAATCATAAAATATCTTAAAACTAAGTTAATTTTCGATTGAAATATCACAATGTTATCAGCTATGAATTATTAATCAGGTTATAGGTTTATTGCCTATTAGAACGCAAGATTGATGACGTTGCTTGATAAATTATATTCATGTGATCAAGACTATTTTTAGTACTTGTATTTAATGACATTTCTAATGTCATTTATCTAGAAATTCGTCTTAAATTTTGCCATTCAAATTGTTAATTTATGGTCTTATCAAATCATTTTGTTTGTACAAATTAAAATTATTTCTCAAATTAAAAAGTCAATTTAAAATTATAATAATTTAATTAAATAATAAATTTAAAGGAAAAATTACAATTAAAATTAATTGCAATGGCAGATAATGGATTTTGACAGCAAATTGTAAGAAAAGCTGGTCATTTATTTTTTAATTTTCATGCAAAAGTTATTAACTAGATACAAATGACTTTTATTTAACAAAGTAATGAAAATAAACGAAATAAATTAAAAGGAAAAAGATTTAATTTGTCAGAAAATCATGAAAATAATATGAATAAAATTTAAAAACAAGTACTTTGGTTTGTTGTATATTATAAAAGGTCACCCGGTAGATTGAGAAGGCCACGAAGAGAAGGAACTGTAAGTAGATATGTTACTTGCATTCATGAAAAGTAGAATAATCGAAGGAGAAAAAAATTTACATTCTCATTAATGAAAATAAAATGTTTTAAATAAAAAATTATTTCAACAATAAAAATAGTATACAAATATATTAAAATAATAAATTGTAAAATTTAAATATTATTACATTGAATAATAATTAATTAATTTAAGTTATACATGGAAAGTTAAGTGCTCAGTAAATTGGTATCATAGAAAAAAAAGAATACAATGTTTGATTAAATTGATAAAAATGTGGAATAATTGAATCAAATTGTATAAGTTTGTGTAAACATAGATAATATTTTGAACATATTTTATTTTTCTTCAAAATTAAACATCTTTGTAAGACATAGATAAGTGTCAAAATAAAATTTCATTATTTAAAAAATGAAACATCAAATAAATTGATATTTAATTAGTTAATAATTACTAAATATTATTTATAAAATATAATTACATTGAATAAATATTTAAAAAAAAATTTTTTTTTTATTTAAAAAATGAAACTAAAAGAGAAAATAATTACAGTAAAACAATGAAATGGAGGTGGGTTTCTCAATCAAACGTTATTGGCTGTGTTTAAGAGACGAACTGGCTCAAGAACGAGTGAATACTTACACAGGTGCGTGTCTTAGCACTCTTAGACTGTACTGAAGAGGAGAAGGGGGATGTAATAACTCAGAAAAAAAAGGATAAAAGATAATCAAAACAGAAAAAAAACTAACAAACAAAAAAATCAAGATTATTTTAAACAAAAAAAAAATTTTTCAAAATCGAATTAAAAAAAAAGAGCAGAAATTTTTAAAGAGTGAAAATAGTAATAATTTGTTGCTTATATGATCACTTAGAGTTGACTGATACGATGTGAAACAATTCTGTATTGCTTCTTCCTCAACTTCTCCCACTCTCACAACTTTCGTCCTGTTTCTGTCCCCTATTAAAGTGTTTATCTTTGTCTCGCCTTCTTTACCAAGTGTTTCTCTTTGTCACTCATGTCTGTTTTCTCAACTTGTATTTTATTTTATAAGTTTAACTTCGTTGTTTTACGCTCATAAAACGCCATCGACAGCATTGCTTAATTAAGTTGCAGATGATGAGACTAATAATAGTATTATGATAAATTTAGAGACGACTTCTGGGTTAATTTTAGATTATATGAAAGACTGTTGGATTAATTTAGAAAATTATTTCCAAGAAATTTGGATTTTTTTTAGCTTAGGGATGACGTTTTTGCATTTTATCACATACTTTTATTTTTTTTTTTTTTTGCTCTAAAAAGATGTTATTTTTGGAGCCTTTTTAACTCTTGATAATCAACAATGTCTGACATTAGACTTCTTTTGATTAATAAAATATATAATGAATAGTATTATTAGATAATTTAATTGTCTTTTAATAAGAGAATTTAGAAATAAAATTACTTTAAACTGTAGGATGTTGAATAATAAATGAAGAATAAAGAAAGTAGATTGGAATTAAGTCTTGATTGCTTATGAATTTAATTTTATCTACGATATGATAACGAGGTTGTGTTATTACTCTGTAGGATAGCTTTCTAGAGAATTTTATATATTGATAGAAAAAAATATGTTTAATAGAAATTTGTTATTTAATCTTTTAAAGTAAATATTACAGTAGATTTTTGTGATATTAAATTACTCAATAATACTATTCTTGATTAAAAATTATCAAATTATCATGTAGACTCATTTTTTACGTAAAATCAAATAATTTGGCCATTTAAAATACTCAGTTTAAACATCAATAAAGCTGAAGAGAAACCTCTAAAATAAATTTTAAAATATATTTAAAGAGGATTTTAATGTTTAATTAGTGAAATAGTTCATAAAAAATTTAATTTTTGAGATAATGTTGTAAACAATGATAATGTGATGCTAAATAATTTGAAACTTACTTAACAAAATTAGTTTGGGAAAAAGTTTCATTTTAAGGATAATATTTCATTGAGAATAGAAATACTCCAATAGACAGGAATAATATTACAAAATAATTAAATAACATTTTTGTAAATTGTCAATTAAATTTTTGTAAATGTAGTTATGAATAAAAACATCTTGTTAAATTTATAAATAATTTTGGATAGTTGTGATGCAATTATTGAATTGTAAGAATATTTAAATAGATTTACAGTTTCCTGCATCAATGTTGCACTTTTCTCCATAGAAGGACTTACTTAAAAATATATTTTTTAATATTTCTCATCAATAAAAGTTATCAACAATAATGCATAACGATTCATTGACATTTTTTGAAATTAAAAGTATCGGTTAATTTTAATTTTCTACTCTCATTTCCTTAATATAATCAAATTGAATTTCAAAAACCTTAGATGGTCGGTATTTGGTATTTTTACCTTATATAAATTTTTAAGAGTATGTCTGAAGTAAATATGATGTAAAATCATGATGAAAAGTTTCGATTATTGGATATGAATTTAATCGTAAGAAAGCTATCAACAAAGCGTTGTTAAAAAGGACAGTTGTAAGTAAGAAAAATGATGTATCTTAATTGGTTATTTTTGACACTCTTGTATGTATAAGTTCTGCACATAGGCCTTTTCTTTTTTTTTTTAAATATTGGATTATGCAACCTTGTCAATGGCTTGTTGTTGAGTTTTTTTTTGTATTAAATGAATAAATAAATAAATAAATAAATGAATCTGCATTGAAAAATAATAAATGCAACTAAAAATACTGTAGAGTTGATGAGAATTTGATTGAAGTTTTTTGGAGTAATTAGAATTGCTATGACTGATGCTCAATAATCATTCATGAGAATTACAAGAATAAAATGTTTAAAATATTTTCGAAAAATTGGATTTTCTGCAGACAATAATATGACGCACTGGAACTGAATGATAATTAAAAACATTGAAATTACTAGAATGATATTTCTCAGATTCTTGGAATGATTCAATATTATTGAGTCATTTTTAAAATACTTGATAAATTGATTAAGTAATTGGATTGGTACTAGCAATCAGTCAATCACATTGTTTATTTGTTTAAAACAGTAGAAGAGACAATCAGGATTATGGACCACTTTTTGTTTGTATTAAATCATATTTTTCTCAGTTAAATTATAACTAATCATCACTTTTCACAATGTTGAACGTCATAAACAAATTACAGCACTTTGGTAAACGGCAAGAAGCGTTTAAAAGTCGTCTACAAAAATGCCATTCGTCGTTTATGATGCTTAACACTGTAAACACTTTAAATGTCTAGTTGTTAAACACTTGGATTTGCAGTCGGTAAATAAGAAACATGAAAATTTATGTCATTTTCATGTTATATTACTGCATATAAGTATGTTAACATATACAGTGTGGGTTTACTGAAGAGTTTATGAACATTTATTTAAAGTTTAAATAAAAAAAGAAATAATGAGTTTGAACTTCATGAGGAACACTATGTTTTAAAATCTTTAAAAGGTGAATGTTTTAAAATGATTTAATATTATTGAGTCATTTTTGAAGTACTCTAATCAATAGAATTTTTATTTAACCATCTTTATCACGATGATATCCATTTAAAGTTGCTCATTGACATCAAAATAGCAGAACCTTTTTGGGTTACTAATAATCATCATTGTATGTTTAGAAAAAAAAATGATCTGGGTGTGTTCCAAGAGTTCTATTTGACTAACTTTTCAGTAGAAAGTAACAAAATATATTAAACTTAGAACATGAAAGGAAATTAGATAGTTATTCTCTTTTTTTTATGTATATTTTTCATCAAAAATGGCTTGACTAGTTTTGTTCAGAATTTAATCAGGTCTAAGTTACCTAATTACACATTGAATAAAACTGGTCCCATCATCATCATCATCATCATTTGTTCTCGAGATACGCGAGACGAAAATTGATAACGAAAATACGTACAGACATATGCACACACGGACATCCTCTTAAAAACCATATCATTCGATTCTAGAGAGCTTAAAACGTGAAGATATGTCAAAATTAGAAGAATTAGACCTATTACTGTAATTTCTCACTGGAAAGTTAATAATAATCTAAAATTCAAGATTGTTATTATACTTCAGTCAGTATCAAATATAAAAAACTTCTCATTAAGATCATAAATTCTGAATAAGATTAACAACTAAACTTTTAGCATTTATTTGATAATAAAAATGCGATAATTGATCAAGTGTTCTTCTTTCTGAGAAATAATAAAAATACTATGAACGTCATTGATTGTTGTTTAAATGTGTTGGCCGAGGTTTAGTAGAAAAGAAAAACTGATTAGAAAGCTTAAGAAAATGTCTGTTGATGAGTAAAAATGAAATAATTAATATTTCAAGATATAACAAATATTCATAATAATTACCTTTGTTTTGCGGTGGTGTTCTCCGCATTTCACAGAGAGCTCCACTATCCTCAGCAGCGGTCGGTGTTAAGGCCGCCGCACTTCCGGTCGACCGTTGTTGTTGATTTTGGTTGTCTTTCTGGTTATGCTGTTGATTTTTCCCTGATTGATCTTGCTCAGTAGACAACACCGTACTCGAGTTGCCTTCAGAGTATGAGCTATCAGAATTAGTTATTTGCTCGGAATTTGATCCTAAAAATGTTAAAAATTATTACAAAAATGCACGAGAGTAATTTATTTTGATAATAATAAATAAATAAAATAACTCTATTGTAATTTACAACATTTCTTTCCATCATAATCACTTTAAACTGATGATTTATTGTAGCCATCCACCATCTTTCTTCTCAAGATTAATTTCAATCAACTATTAATTTAGATAACAATTCATTTATTTACTTACACGGTAGTAATTGTTTTTAAATGATAATAATTATTCTGTGTAAATAATCTCTCTGAACCACTTGAGGAGAACCAATAAGTGACATTTGGTTTTAAAATGTCATTAATTATTTGATATTATTATTCGACTGATTTATTTAAATATAATTATGGTGTTTATATTTATAATTGCTGATTAAACGTTTTATATTGCACACAAATACAATCACTATCGTTTTACACAGCAAAGTGACGCTGACGCACAGTTTGTCGACCAGGTTATCCAACTTTGCAGATCCCCAATTTTCCTCTCGGAATTTAGGATTTCTCAGACACGGCTTCACCAACAGAGGTGTAGAAATGACACCAGGAGTCGCTACAACTCGACGATTGTCATGCCATCTACAGTTTATTACGACATTTATCCCGCCTTGAGTTGGATAACCAATCACGAACAATTTTTTTGATTTTAAAATTTTATTTATAATTTTAGTGTCTTTTTCTTTGTTTTTTGGATTATTAAATTGTATCAAAGGAATACTTTTTTTGTTCCTCTCATCTATTACACTGTACTGTAGAGACTTTTTTGGAGTAATTTTTTTTGGAGTAATTAGTCTTAAAAATTTCTTTTTTATCATGTTTAGTACACTGGATGTTTATTTATTCTTTGTTTTATTGTTTCATTTTCACTTTATAATTAAATAACGGATATTCAAATGGGGTTTTTTTAACATGCTGGAGCTGAACTATATTTTAGAGTAAATTATTGATCAATAAAATAAAGTAGTGCATTGCTTTGACAATTGTTAAAGTGATTTTTGGATTTTTTTTTGTTTTCATCATCGTTCAAAATTAGTACATTTCACACCTAGGAAAGAATAGTACATTTCACACCTAGGAAGCGAAAGTAGTCTAGCTCAAACCACGTGTAAAATTACAACTCGAGCCAAAGGCGAGGGTAGTAAACACGTGGTTTAAGCTAGTCTAATTGTCTTCTCTAGGGCTGAATATGATTTTTCGTCATACCTGCGTGGAAAGTTCAACCCCTCTCCAATGGAAAAGTGAACTTTCCGTGCGGGTATGACGAAAAAGTAGTTATGACGCAAAAAATATTTTCACAATATTTTTCTTCGAAACTTATTGTTCGTAAATTTGGTATTGTTTATTTGGTAATTGGTATAACTTTTATGGTATTTTTTATTTGGCATTTGGTATTACTTTTCATTGTATTTTTTTGTTTTTTGTTTTATATATTTGGACACAATGCTACTTAATCCAGTGTTTAGACATGCTTATATTTACTTTTATTTATTCTAAGATTATTAAACGAATAATTCGGCGAGAAATGAATTATTTAAATGGTTTCTTATTAGTGAAAAATAATAAACGAATTACCAGAATCTCGAGATTCTAATCCATTTCCAAGTGTTGATCGCGTTTTAATATCATCCTTACGGTTTATGTCGCCATTTTTGTTATTCAATCGTCCTTTTGATCCTCTTTGTGATTGTGACGTTGATGGTTGAGTATTTGATGTATCATCTAAAGAAAATTTATATCAATATTTCAAGTTCAACACAAACTTAAATTTACTTAATTATAATTAAATGATCGTTGGAAAAGAATTGACTATAAACATTCATAAACTTTCATTGGACTCATTCACTATTATTTATATTTAATTTTTCACATTTTTATCAGTTAAAAACATTTTTTTCATTTTTATTTACTTAACATGCTATTTTTCATTCAATTAATGATTTTTACTTTATAAATATGTGTATTTCCAGTGTAATTAACAAATTAACAAGTTGTAATCCAATTGTTTTCAAGAATTTCAAAAATTCATATTTCCCGCTTAAAATGGCGTCTAGATCGCATGCGCGTGGAATGTTTTTTCCTGCGCAGTAAATTGATCTTACAATTAATTATGATAAATGGAGCATGATAAGCGTTAATTAGATTTTAATAATGAAAGTTTATCAATTTTTAATCGTTTCTACTACTCATGTAATGACTTACTCGTTGGACTTAGCGATTGTGGATACAATCGAAGTAAAAGTGCGAGTTGTTGGCGTTCGGACATTCGCGGAAGTTTTGGACCACGGTATCGACTGTTACCGCCTGGAGGCATTGCAATCTCATAATTTTTACACTTTCTTACTTAATAAATAATTCACTGTATTTTAATGACAATTATTTATCAATAAAATATTAAACTTAATAATGAAACCACTTCATTATCATGTAAACAAGTTAACCTTAAAACTTTCAACACAAAAAGGGATTGGTTGGTTCTCACGCCATTTTGACCCACTTTGTTCCCGCGAATATGTCAGCTGTTATTCACTTACTATTTTTCACTCCATTACTAATAACTTTATCTATTTTTACGATTATTATTTATTTATCCTTCGCTCTTATTTATCACTTGTTTTCGTTTAGCATATAATCATCACACTCACCACACTTATTTACGACGACAACACACTGTGCAAAATATGATACAATGGCGGCGTCACTATTGACGGCAATGGTGGAAATTCACGCGGGAGAAAAGTGCGCCAAATACAAATGTAAGGATAAATTTTTCTATTGGTATTTGAAATATTTTTTATAAAAAAATATTGTTGTTTATACATTAAAGAAAAATCAAAAAACAATTTAATAGTGAATTATAAATAGATAATAATAATATGAAGTAAAATTAATATGTTGTAAAAAGGGAAATGATAGAGATTTTAGATATTAATCTTGGGTTATTAAAATGAATATTTTATAAAAAAATTCTAATAGTTAATACAATATAGGCCATTGGATGATTAAAATAATTTAATAAATAATAAATTTATACACTTTTAAACGTTAAAACGTTTTTTTTTTTTTTACCATTTTATCTTTTTCATTTACAAGAACACATGTTTTGTTTAATCATTGTTTTTTTTATCTATACCACCATTGTTTTTTTTGCTAACTACAGTCAATCTCGTAGAAAATATTTTAAAATTTTCATTAATTGACGTGTTTAAATATATTTACGTATAAATTAAATTGTAATATTAAATAATATTTATACAATATAAATTAATTATCTATTTAACATCAATTAATAATTAATATTATAAATCTAACAAACTATACAGTCATGGAAAACATTATTTTTTAAAACTAAAAATGATTAAATCAATTTATCAATTCATTTTTTGGCTGATTTATTTCTTCTTAGAATTTTTTTTTTTTTTTGTCATTCTCATTATCACATTTTCATACACTCACACACTCACATTTACGTATGTATTTAATTAATTATTACATATTTAAAGATAATATTAAACCATTATCAAGGTAGAAGTTAGACAGATTTCAGTCCTTCAGTAAAATTTAAAGTAAGTCAATATCAATTTTTATTATAAAAAAATAAATAAATAAATAAATAAAATAACCCAATTAAAATTAACATTTAATCATCTTTAAAAAATTTTTCTTCTTTCTTGTCATCATTTTTTGTTTTCCACAAAAAATTATTATTTTGATTCTATGGTCCAGCCACAGTTATTTTTTGTCTCATTTTTCTTTCTATTTTTAATTTTTCGAGTCTTTTGTGACGACTTTGTACAATGCTCATATTGAGCAGTCAAATTGGGACTAATAATCATTTTTTATTTATTAATTAACACATTTATTGATTGATTAAATTGGCAGTTTTGTATTGAAGTGGTAAAAAAAGTTAACTTAGTTAACTATATAAAAAAGTTTAACACAATTAATTATATTTCGTTAATTCTTTTTGTTTAAAATCTGCTTATTGTGTACTCGTAAGTATTGTAAAATATTTGTAATCTGTCGACTGAATTTGTTGTGAGCAATGCTTGACTTGTTGTTTTATTTGAGTTTGTAATTGAAAGTAGACTCGATGTCACTTCTGTCTATTAATTAATCCTTTAGCTTTTAATAAACATTAATAACAGTTTCTAATGACTATGATATTCTAAAATATATGCTTAGGTATTTATGTTCACATTGACACTCGATGAATTTATTTATTTTCAGTTTCTGACTGAGACTTGACTTGACCGGACGTTTTTCTTGTCCTTAAAATTTTCTAATTGATTTAATAAACATTTTAATTGATTTACAATTCTTTTCCAAGTTATTATTTACTCTTATTCCTCAATATTATTATTTCGTGTCTTCTTTACAGTATGAATGTGTATTATATCGCTGTTTTGTATTGCCATTTAACAATGTGTAACCCTGTTATTAGTTGCTTACTATTGGGTCTTTTGTATAATAAATTAATTAATTCATTTTTCATTTAGTTAATTTCTGATTTTTAAAACTCGACCACTTCAATACAAAGTAATCACATTAATCATCCATTAATCACACCAAAATGAGACAACGTTAATATTTGAATGGAAATATCAATGGGGTTTATACTCATTACCACTGACGTTACATGAAATTACGTCCCTATTAATTTTCTAATTTCTTTATCGTCAAATTTCTCGACTTTTTTTTCATCAATTCAAAATAATGACTAATTATCGATTAATTGTTTTACTTTCACTCTGCTCAATGAATTTTTTAGTTAATTTACATGTTTTCTTTTAGTGTCAAATACCCACTCATACATACAATTATTGAATTTACATTAATTGTTATTACTTATTTTGTTATTTTTATCATTCAATGACTTTATAACATAAATGGATTCAATATTTTCTCGTGCTTTTGTTTATTCTCATCATTTATTATTATCTTTAATTAACATAAAAGTAATTATTTATAAATTTTATTCTCTTGTTTATGTTATTTGTTATTATTTTTAAAAGGTTTCCTTTTATTTCAATTAAAGTAAGTCTTTAATAAATGATAAATGGGTCCCGAGTATTTATGTGCATAAAAGTCATTTCAGAATCAAATTTACATCATGAAGAATTCCTTTAATTCATACAATTGATTTTCTGTATATATTTATTATATATCAGTGTTCTTAAATAGCCATTTTTTAATCCAGTTCTTTTTTTTTACTTCATCCAATTATATCAAGATTTTTAACATTTTATTAACGTTAATCTGAGTTTAATAAATTGAGTTTTCCAAATGGTCAGAAAGTTCATAAAATCAAAAGAATTAAAGATGGTTGTAATTAGTATGATTTGATTATTAATAAAAATTATTCATATATTATGGAAATAAATCAATTCTATTTAATGAAGTTTTATAAAACATTGTTGATCATTGAAGAATTATAATAACTGATACAGAAATGAAAGAAAAAATAATAACTGACTTATATATAAGGCCTTTTAAAAACATTCATCTATAATTCACATTATTTTTATTTATTATTTAAATAAAATTCCTTCCTAATTATTTGTTTTTATTTCGTTATATAATAAAATTGATATTGTTCCACATTACTTCAACTTCCATTAGTTATTGGTCTATTTGATGATTTTTTTTTCATGCAAAATATGTTATTTAATGTCTAGTAAACATTATTCACTGCTTGAAAATCAAAATTTATTCAAAAAAAAAAAATCATCAATGATAGAAGAAAGAATTGCGCAATTATATAAAAAAATAAACAAATTCAATTAAAATAAAAATAATAATTGCACAGAAATTAATATAAAAAGTAGTCCTACAAATTGATTGATACAATTTTTTTAACAATACAAAAGTTTTATTGCGGACCTGCGCGATAATGTTAATGATTTAAAAAATCTACTGTACAAAGACTGAAAATAAACATCATAATTATTTCAGTGTTTCGAAAATTATTTTAAAAGAGTCCAAAACCAGACAAAACAAAATAATAAATTTAAGAAAAAAATACTTAAATAAATTTACAACTAATTAATTAATTATAAATAAAAATTTAAAAAGATTTACATTAATAAAAAGTTAATAATAAACAAATAAAAATGAGTATGAAGACAGTTTGGTTATTTTTGTAAAGAAGACTTAACTTATCTACGACACATACATTCATTGGACTATGTCGATTAATTATAATTTTAACCATTAATTATTTAAACATATTTTATTATTAATTATCATTGTTTATTGATCTAGAGATACGACTTTTAATAAATATTTATTCATGGATTAACAATTTATATCTATTAATAAATCATTAACCCATCAATATTGAAGTTTACTTTCGAAGAATTTATCCATTAACTATTATTGTTTAAGTAGAAACATCCATTTTTAGAGAGAAAAAGACAGTTTTATAACGTTAATTATTTAATTAATGGTGATTAATTAATAAATTACTTTCAATTGTCAATAACTAATTACTTATGAGCTTCGTTTATTTTTAAAATGTCAAAATTAAACCCTAATTCATCGATTTTTCATCAATCATAAAACATTGATGGATTTAATTAATTAATCAGCATTAATTAATTATCGTATTAACGTTAATTATTGAATTTTTGTTAATCATTTAATAGTTATACTTAATAATACTATTTTATAAGCCCCCATATATCGTTGAGGTGTCATATTGATTTCTTACAACCAACTAATTGTTAATAAAAAAATTAATTAATATTCATAATGATTATGAGCACGTCAATGACAATATTTTTGATTTATATTGATTAATGTATAACATTATTTTCGTTAATAAACTGTCTTTTCGTCAATGTTATATATATTATTTTTATTATTAACTTTATAATTATAGGTCATTAATTGTTTATTAATCAGTTATTATTCATCACCAATTATGTGTTGTTCATTGTTCATTAATTATTCATTAATTGTGGATTAATAATATTAATTGATATTTTGTTTTCCTCTACAACGATCAACACGATTATTTATCATCTACCTGGCTATTTAATGCTTTTGTTATTGTGTGTATGTGTAATTCATTCATTAGTTTATGAATAATGTCATTATCTTAAATTACAATATACGCCAGATTACATTTATTCATCAGTGTTATTATTTTTTTAGCATACTTTGAATATCAATCGCGACATAAATGAGCATCATACTAACTGTGACTTGATTTTTATATCGAATAATAAACAATTTGAAAGATTATTGCACAATCAGTGATTTTTATTTGATGAAATTATTTTGAATTTAATGTAGATTTGTAATCTCTGAGAATAAATTATCAAAATAAGATAAAATCTAATTAAATGTCCATTTTATCAATTCATTCAGATCAGTTGGATCCAGATTGATTGAACTGAATTGAAACAGATCGGAAAAAAAAATTAGATCTATGCAGATTAACATAGATTCACTTTGATCTGCATCCATCTGCTTTGATCTCGTATGTGTATAAAATTTGTTTATCTACCAAATCAATCGAGATCTCTGTAAATATACATAACATCATCATGCAAAGTATGTATAAACCTTTAGATTTAATTTTCTTTAAATCCTGTAAATTGAAGTAGATCTACATTTGTACATCTGGAGTGTGTTTAAATAATACACTTTAAGTGTTTCAATGTTAAATTAGTATTTGCAAACTAGAGAGCCTTGTGGTCGTTTTATACACACTCCAAAGTATGTTAAAATCTATAGACTGTTTATGGGGTTTAACATTGAACACATTTATGTGTATTTACGGTAACATACTTTGATGAAGTTATGCTGATAAATAGATTTTAGTTTAATCAAATTTTGAAACTTTTTTAAATCATGTGATTTAAAAATGATAAAATTTGAGTAAAGTCATGAGACTTTCCTATGAGTTCATCGGTGGCTTAATGGTAGAATGCATGATTTATGTTACAAATTTTAAAAGTGAATGATTTTATTTTTTAAAATAATTTTTATTATTATCCAGAAGGGAATAAATAAATAAATACTGCAATAAATAATACTCGGTTTCAATTAGTTTAAATAAATCCTTGATTAAGACATTTTTTTAATGCCACACTACCATTTTCGGTTTACAAATCGCCTTTTAATGTAGACTCAAATCCACTAGAGATATGAAAATAATAATTAATGGAAATAAAATTAAAGTTTCATTTGATTTTTTAACTTTAATAATGACAAAAAATTTTTTATCTTTAGCTTTAATCGAATTTCTATGAGAATAAATGACGACAAAAATTATATTAATTTAGATTTAATTTAAAAATGTCATATCCTGACAGAGATTCTCATTTCTTAATGTTGTTATTAAATATTTAAAATCCTTGTTTGTGCAAGAATTCTTCTAAATAATTAATTTTTTATGACACAATTACTTGTACTAATAATTACAAGTATTTGTTTATTGTTCTATTAATGATTTTCAATTACTTGAATTACTAAATTCTTCTCTGCTATTTATGGAATGTTTTACTCTTTTTAATTAATCCATACCTTTTTTCTCTTTACATTTAATTAACTTGTTATTAACTTCATGTCATTTTTTGCTACAATTTTTTTCTGTCACGCAATAACTCTTCTCTTTATTGTATTTTGTCAGCTCCATCATCTTTGTTTATTATTTTTTTTTTTTATGTGAGCAAAAATTTCAGATCAAACATTTCTTGTATTATTTATTCCATTTTGCATTGTCATTTATTGATTATATAATCTACGCTCTAAAATTCACAGTTGCATTTTTTCATTATTTTTGTTTTTAATTTTTTTTATATTAAATTTTTAATTTTTTTTTTCTGTTTGTCTATACAGTCTTTATTCCTTCTCTCGTAAAACTTGTTTAAGTATTTTTTAAACTTTTTCAATGTTTATTATTTTTATTTAATAATTTATTAATTATCGATTGATTATTTTGTTAATTAATAGCCAGTTAAAGTCATGATTAAAAACCCTGTTTTTTCATATTAATTCGTTTTCAATTAATAAATTTAATAACAAATAAAAAAAAATTATGTTACTATCAATTACTTGTTTACTTTGTTTTCATTATTATTCAATAAATTAACTTTTCGAGCCATTTTTTTGTTTATTCAAAATTTACATCTAAACTGCTTCTTTCTTTTATTCTTTATTATTTAATTAATAAAAAATTCAAATTTTTTTTAAAATTATCATCATTTATGGCACTAATTTGGCGTATTTTTTACTCCGTAAGAATTTTTAATTCTTCGGAAGACAGTAAAAGATACTTAAAAATTTTTTTAACTAATCGATAAACAGATCGATTAAGTAATCGATTAATTTTATTTCTGATTTATCGGCTCACTAAAATTATACAATCGATGTAATAATACTTAATTAAAAATTTAAATAAATTAATTTATAATACCGTTAACAGTCATCAATTATCATTAATTTGATGTTTTTTTTTGGTGAATTTGTTCATACATATAAACCACTGCTGATTCCATTCTCTCGTTGTTAATTGATAAAGTTTGAATTTTTAATGATCAATTATTAGTGTTAAAACCTCCACAAACTTGATCTTCGTGGCCCTCCTCCACTTCCTGTACAAAAAAAAAACAAAACTTTTTAGATAAAAATTTTGAAATTGTAATTTTTTTTTCTTAATAATCATTATTCTGATATTCAAACATTTTTTTTTGTTTCAGTTGTTACTAAGAGATCATGTGAAATAAAAAAAAATATATTTATATAATAACAGAGATGTTTTCAACCCTTCATCGATATTATTAATTTCTCGCCTAATTTACTCGTTTGGTGACCGTTATATTACCATGTTTAATCATCTGCAGAATTGTCAAATCAACGGACAGCAGTTGACTCATATTGAAATGGAAACTGTTAAGATGGCAATGCTGTCCATCGATCTCCAATTTGGCAATAAAGCGCCTCTTTTTTATGCAGCCGTTGAGAGATTCAATTTTTACAGCATAATTTTTTAAAATAATTTTAAAATCAGAAGAGAGCATCAATGTGTCTTTAAAAATTCAATGGAAACCTAAAAATGGGAGATTACGTAAATGATTAAGGGTTAAACTCAAAAAATCTTTAAAGATGCTATTAAAGATGGCGAATTAGCCAAAATTTCGAATACAATTTTTCGATACATACAGTGGAGCTCTAATAATTTCGGGTATGTTAATGAATATTTAAATAATTCGAGTGTCAGTCGAATTGTAATTAAATTTTGGATAATGCTAAAGTTTAGAGGACTCACCTCCGATGACCTTAAAATTTTGGTATGTTGTAGAGGTAATTATACTGATTAATTTGATATGCATATGCAGGGTGCGGAAATCATATCTTCACATACTTTTTCAAGGTTGAACATTAAAATAATAACGTGCATTAAATTTTGCCTCGGTTTGCAAGATATCAAAATTTTAATTTTCAAACCTAAAAAAATATGTGAAGCCTTAGGGTTGCCATCTCAAATTTTTGAAACCCCGGACTGGAGCAGTAAAAAACCCGGACAGATCAGACTTAAAATTCTTCATTAAATATTTCAAAATTTATGTGAATCTTTATTGAAATAAAAAGGTGCAAAGCTTTATTTAGAACAAATTACATCAAACCGTTAATGGAGGATTATTTAAGAGAATAAATTACAGCATAAACTAAAAGCAATATAATAAATGAATATGGATGGAATTAAATTCAATTCCCATCTAAAGTATAGATATACCCTGATGGTAATAATTATGATTGAAGATTGATTCTGTTCAGATAGCGTGAAACATGATAAAAATACATTCATGGAATCATTTTTTATATAATTTTTGAACTTTTCAATAAAAAAAAATCAAAAACTTGGACATTTCGAAAAAAGTACCCCGGACAGCCTCCTTAGTAAAAAAAAGAGGATATGTCCTGGAAAACTCGTACGGATGGCAACTCTACTGTGAAGCTGACGTTTCCACGCCTAACATATATATACGCAGAGGAATGTATAGTAAAAATTACCGTGAATTTTATAGTAATTTAGTGACACTCCAGTGTGATGGTAAAAATTACTATACACATTGTAAAAATCACTGTGCACATTGTAAAAATTACTAAACTGCATAGTAATTTTTGAGGTAAAATTGGAGTAAAAATTACTATGCAGTTTGGTAATTTTTACAATGTGTATAGTAATTTTTACCTTCACACAGCAGTGTCATCAAATTACCATAAAATTCACGGTAATTTTTACTATACATTTCTCTGCGTGTATTTATTCTTGTTCGGCATAACAAACGGTACAACATACTAAAATTTCAAGGTCATCGGGGGTTAGTCCTCTAAACTTTAACATTACCCAAAATTCAATTACAAATCCACTGACACTCAAATTGTTTAAATATTAATTAACGTGCTCGAAATTATTAGAGCTCTACTGTATGTATCGAAAAATTGTGTTCGAAATTTTGGCTAATTTTCCGTCTTCAATGGCTTCTTAAATTTAATTTTTGAGTCTCTAAAATTGGTACTTGATGAGAAGGATCATTTCTGATGGTAAAACAGCGTAAATCTACTTTTTTCAAAGACTTTATTTGAATAGAAAGAATTTTTGGAAAAAGTTTAATCTGATGTTTGAAAAATTTATTAAAAAGTAAATGTAACATTTGATTAATTCCAATGCAAAGGGAATTTTCTCTGTGTATCTAACTTTATTCCTGTTAATTTTATTAAAAAAAAACTCCCTACCAACCCTTTTATCTCTCTAATCTCTTTATAAAGGCTAATGGATTAGTTCAATTAATTTAATTTCACCTCAAAATCTCTTAATTCCCCTTTCACCATCCTATTGACATTCAATCTATCAATTTTGCTGGTTTATCATCAACTAGTCCAGCAATTTAGTAAATTTACAATCGTTTATATAAAACAAACATAGAATCTCGCAACATTGGAAACGGTATCTAAAGTAAATAAAACTTAAATTGATCAATTAAATGAATCGAACAAAATAAAATAGGCAATTTACGGACCAGAATGAAACACAGAAACCATTTCAACAGGGAGAGACCCACGTCTCTTGACATTTGGTTCAGGAATAGAGTCTCTTTTATACAGATCTCGTCTCCAAGTGGTCCATTTTCCACTGTCGTCATCAGTTCTACCAGCAAACATTTCAGGACCTCCACTGCTTCGTCTTCTTAATGTCTTTTTACGATTCCTCGTCTTACCGTTGACACTACTGCGGCCAAATAAATCACGTCTAAGCTCAGAAATGTCCGCTGGAACACTTCCACGTCTTGGTGATGGCATTCCAGAGATATTTTCAGCTATTCGGATGCTTGTGTTATTATTATTGCTTCCTGCGATGTTGTTATTGTTGTTGTTATTTAATGAATAATTTTGACGTTCATCTAAAACACAAATATTTCAATTAATCTATTTATTTTAGAATTTGTAATGATGTATTTATTTTGTGCTTCAATAGTTATTTTTAGTGTTGTTATAAACCGAAATGAATCCATTGAAAATATTATTCATGACTGAAAGGTGTCATGTTTAGTGTTTTATAGTCTAGTTGCTACAGTTCTGAAATCGGAATTTTTCAGCATGGTTGAACATTTCACAAAATATTATTAAAATGATTATCTTGTAAACCAAAAAAGATATGAGAAAAAGTTACGAATAAAAATTGAAGATCTTTTAATTTTACATAAAAAAGGTCCCAAAGGTTTTATCCTTTGCGTCTTTTAGTTTAGCTTCAAAATAATTTAAGGTAGTTCTAGCACATAAGAGCGGATTTTATGGGGGCTTTGAGGGGGCCCTATTGAATTTCTATAAAACGAAGGATAATTCATTGAATTTTTTGTTAATTATTACTATAAATTTGATAATTAATTTTAAAGGTGACTTTCATATTGGCCATATTGTGAACGTGAAATGTATGATTCTATAGTTTTCAATTAATAATTTCTTTATTAAATATTCAACAGCTGCAATTTTTTTGGTGAAATATCTATTCGAAAACGTTCCCGAATTAATAATTTCGTTTTTCGTAAGTATTTGCAGTAGGGAAGATTGGAAAATTGAACGATAAAGTCGAAAGTACTATCTCTCTCTCTCACTCTCATTTACGTCAATGCATAAAACTGTATTTTTAAATACGATTTTTTCATCAAAATGCCCCATGACTGAGCTTTTTTTTGCTTGTAACTTGTTCGTGACAATCTTAAGAACATCATATTTCAATATTAAATTTATTTGCAGACTTTGGTCAAGTGCTATAACTATCTTAAAAGATAGTACAATATTTAAAAAGTCTCTTCTCCACAGATTTAAAGTAGTTTTTCGATAGTTTTAACTCTTCCTTGGGGTTGAAACTTTGTTTTCACTATTCCTAATTATTTGTAGCAACCTCAAGAACAATTCTTGCAATTTTCAGCCATGCTGAAATTCAGCAACTAGCTTTTCAATAAAAAGATCGTCTTCATCTTCTAATTGTTCAGCTGGACATAATAAATGTTGACTTTTTTTAAAAATAAATATTTTTTACTTTTTAATAATTTTAGATATCTTTCCCAATATTTTGTTATTCTAAATATTCAAGTTATGTTGGCTAAACAACTTAAAAAAGAAAAAAAATAATCTCGTTTGGTAAATTCATCAAAAATTATGGGTTGATAGTTTACCAGTTAAAACACCTATACTGCTGAAAGCTGTTTCTTGAGGAAGACTAGCACGTCTTGGTGATGGTAAATTTTCTTCTCTAGGTCCTAAAGCTGATCTCAGTGATCCACCTACGATTTAACATGACAAAAAATGTAAATAAATAAGATTTATCATATTTACTTGATCATCTTTGATGTCTGAGAGTTTTAAATAGAAATTATTTATTTTTTAACACCTACTTCCTTGTATATGTCTATATATACCTTGATGCTCGCTGATGTCTGTAGGAACTGATCCACGTCTATGATCTCCTCTTGAAACTACTAATGGTCCGTCATCCAATCTTGACATCAAACTCACTGGCGCTGAGCCTCGCCTTCTTGCCCAACTCTGTAAAATATTTTTTTTACATTAATGAAAATTCAATTTGATACTGAAAATACAATATTGCTTATCAAAGAAGAATAATTCATCATTTCAACTTGTTTGTACATCATTTTTACTGAGTTTATAGTTTTGTATACACAAGTGAGCAAAATATCATTTTCCTGCATTCTTAAGAAGGTCGAAATATCATACTTTGTTCCCTTGGTGAGTAATATATCATTTTTTACCCATGTGAATTGTTTGATGCAGGTATGGTGAAAAATAATATTTAACTCAAAGTAAGAAGCATCTAAAAACTAATACGACATGCAATCTCATGTATGGTTTGATTTGGTCCACTTTTCCTCCCTAGGTACGGAATATATTGTTTATCGAATTAGACGTTAAAATGGTAGTATCATCAAATTTATAACAAATATTAATATTATGTGAGACAATTATATATTATGATAAGAGTCATGCAATAGTGAGAAAAACTTCACTTTCTATGAAGGGTGAGGAAAAATGGTGTGATTACATCTTTTTGTCATATTGTCATGAAAATTTCGATTTTATTCTCAGTTTAGAGGTTAGTAAAGCGAAACGTTGTCATTTAATGCAAGGAAGAAAGGTCGGGCTTTACTGCCTCGGAACAGGGAGTAAAATTGAAGTTTACGTGGAGGTATGACAAAAACTGTGTTTTCCATAAAAATAGTTTTAAAAAATTATATTCTTACCTGACTTGTGCGTCTAGTAGTTCCAACATTTTTACTCGAATCTTCAATACCTCTAGGATCAACATTCTCTTTCATTTTGCTATCTTCCAGTTTAGGAATCTTAGAGCTTTTACATTTAAATACCTCTGAGTCTCTCTTAACAGTCATTGAAATACCCTCCAAGCTCTCTCCAATGTTCTTTCTTATCTCGCTACTGCTATCACTGCCGGAAGACACACTTTTAAGTCTGGGTGGTGACTCTGGAGGACTTCCAATAAAGAAAACTTTGGGAGAAGGTAATTCAGAAGCCACAGGAATAGTAGTAAATCTTCTGCCACTACTATCAGTCATAACAATTTTAGTTTCAGTAGCTGAAGATGAAAATCGTCGATTTTCATGGATCTTAGTTGATTCTTCAGCATCAGATACCTTGAGCATTGGATCTGGCATCCACTTTTGATCAGAATTTGATCTAGAAACTGATCTAGAACTAGCATATGTAGCTGCTGAATCACTTTCCATTGATTTTTGCTTTACACCAATACTTCCAGTAAGCGTAGCATAAAATATCTGCGCAGGATCAGCATCTTGAGCACTAGACGGTCTCTTATGTTTAATACCTTTACCAATTGAATCGTCAGTACGTGTATACTGAATCGAATGACGTCTTAGACCTTCAGCAACGTAGTTTGGTTCAACATGCAGCCGATTTTCAAACGATGATTCTCTTCTTTTAGATACTGAGTCAGTTATTGTATAAGACCTAGTGCTAATTTTTCTTTCTCTACGTCCTGAGTCTTCAGAGTTTCTTGATTTATCCCTAGATGGACTGGAGATTGAACTAGATGGACTCTCAGCCTCCATTAAGGTATCAGTTCGACATTTAGACATTTCAGCAGTTGTAGACATGTATCTCGTCCTCGCGTAAGGTTGTAATGGTGGGAATGTCTGCTGTCGAGTCAACTGCTTGTTAGTAGTACGGCATTCAGGTTGCAAAACACAGCATAGCCTTGAAGCTTTGACACTAGAAGTGATGCTGGCGATGCTAGGTTCAGGTAGGAGATTCTCTGCACTCACTGGTCGCTCTCCAGAGCTATCATTCACCGCAGAATCGATCAGACTACTTCTAGATGACAATAGCGATAGGGAGCTCAATTTATTGAGGCTATCACGTTTTAAAAGTGACTGCTTGGTCTTGTCATCAGCAGGAATGCTTTCCCGACGATGTGCTCGCGGTGATGGTAATATTTTTAACATGTTAGCAGGCACCGAGTGTCTTCTTCCACTTAGCTGAATAGATATTTGAACTGGTAGACTTGATCGGCGGGATGTTGATGATGTTGATGGACCTGCTGGCTCTGGAAGTAATACATCACTGCTTGAGTCTTCCGCTTGCATTCCTTCAACTTCCTCATCACTACTTATCGTGTCTTTAGCTTCTTCCAAATCCGACATCTCTGTCTTGGCATCCTCAATGTTCTCTTGTGTTATCAACTCCTCCCATCGCTTTTGATTTGCTCTTAAGTGATCCATCAATGTCACACTTAAACCATCACCCAGAAATCTATACCATTCTTGGTATAAAGGTGTTACCACAAATTCAAAAAATCCTACTTGGATTTTAGGAATACTTATGGTATAACGATCACATAGTGGTGTCACTGGAAGATTTAATTGTCGCTCGTAATCACCTTGTCTAAAAAATTCCTCACAAACTTTATTCGACCATTTTCTCGATATGTCCCAAGGTCTACATGGATTTGAAATGTCGGCACATTTAAGAGCTATTTGAAGAATGAAATGGCGATTCTCTGCGATTTTCATGTCCAATAGGTTTTTATCCAAGTAATTTTTAAAACGTGATAGAAATTCCTGCTGTCGAGTTATATCTGTGGCGAGAATTAACGAGCTTATATATTGCTGAAGTTCAGGTCGCAAATCTGGAGAAAGTTGCTCGTAAACTCCACTTTCCAGTAAGCAACCTATTGCTGATCTCCAGTGGTGATTTTCCAGCACTGAAGTGTTCTAAAAGTTAACATTATTTGAGTTTATAATTTTTATCTAAAGGTCCTTCCCATTTTTTAGGATTTAATAATACTTTTGGGTGATATTTTACCTCATAAAGTGTTGCTAAATGATTACTAGTAGCAACTAAAAATGGCTGGTTGACTCCTGGATGATCTAAATCATGAGTAACTGCTGCTATGAGCGATGCCATTATTTCCAAGCTGTTAATATGCTTTTTTATCTGTAATAAAAAATAAAATTATCAAAAATAAAAAAAGTTTTTAAGGTAATTTTATTACATGGGAAGAGAAGTATAGACACTTTGAAAAAGCTCTACAAAATTTTCAAAGAAAAAAGGAACAAAATTAAAAAATTTTATAATTAAATAACTACTGAATAAAATAAAAAGTATCCCTTTAATTAAATTTTGTAGAGTCCAATATGCTTCAAAAAACAGCCTAATTCGAAACATGCGAATTTGATAGAGTTTGCCATAATGCGTGTTGTTTCTTTAATCTCAAAAAGTAATGACAATTAATCAATGTCAAGTTGGTTTACATATTTGGCATGAATGTAACTTCCGATTAAAAAATAAAAAACTTCCAAAAGTTCATTTGTTGATGAGCTACGATCAATTGTTTAAAAAACAGTGGTACTTTTGACATAAACAATTAAATATCTCGAAAACCATTAGTCGTAGAGAGTTAAGACTGGTCTCATTGTTTTTCTCGTGAAAATCTTAAAAAATTATACGCATCATGTCTCGATCTCCGATGCGTTTTTTTTTCAAGATATTCAATACAAAAAAAGCTATTTTTTTATAAACAAACAAGCACATTTTACCATGTGGTCACAAATTCATACTAATGTCTGCCGTCACTAAAAACAACCTAATGAACGAAATCGGTTAATGTTTAACGGACTTTTATTTTGAAAAGCATATTAACTGGACTAGAATGTAATTCATATTTTAATATAAAATGTGTAATTTTTTAGTTATTTTAAGGTGGAAAATAAGTGTTTATTGATGATGGTTTGGAAAAGTGCATTTTTCTATTGTCTTTCATTAAATGGTAGAGAAAATTTAATTCTAATTTTTTATTCTATTGTAGAGAATAAAATAATGAAAAATTTGTTGGTATTAATAAAAATGATATAAATCGTTACCTTTTCTTCCTGGAGGAAACAATGCATGGCCTGTGTCACGTCTGTTGCATGAATGCTGTTGTGGTAGGGATTTGTACTGTGATAGCCTTCTTCGATTAGAGCTAAAAATAATAAATAATGATGAATAAAAAAAATACTTATCACGTAATTATGTTCTTTATTACTTTTTAGTGCTACTTATTTATATTGAAAACCATGGAGAATAAGCTAATCAACTACTTGAATTAAATAGATAAAATAGTAATTGAAAAAAGTTTTTTTTACGATTAAAAAAAAAAAAATAGTGAATTATTTTTCAGAAAAGTTACGTTTATCAATTATTGGGTAAAAGTTTTTAAACATAAGTAGAAAAGTAGAGGTTACCACACCCTAGTTCAGGAATTTTAGCATAAATTGCATATGCAAATAATGTCAAAAAGCCCGTGAAAATAAATTCTAAAGGTTCTGAAAGTTTTATAGATGCAGGAGGATAGATTGGTTTAAACAAAAGAAAAAATTTATTTACCGAACAATTTCCACACCCTCACGACATCCAGATTGAAGTGTTGGAGAAGTCCGTACCATTGGAACAAATGGACGCATAATACTGGTAGTGAACGACCTGAAAAGGATAATATAAGCATGAAAATTTATTCTCTAACAGTATATGATTAAATTATTTCAATGATTATGAAAAAATTTAATATTTTAATTTATAAAATAAATGTAAGATCTATTCTTAAGATAATTTTAGACACATCTTATTTAAATAAGTAGTTTGTTATAGATAGATTTATTATTAACTTTTCAGTGAAAAATTACTGTAATAGACACAATTTTCTAAATTTCAAATCGTGACATACAGTGAACTCCAAAAGTTAGTTGAAATTGTTGAGTAAAAAATTTAAGTGAATAAATAATATCAATATACATTGAATTTAATAGTTTTTCTAGTTGTATTCGAAACTATGAAATCTTAGCTAAAAAAATGGCGTATATATAAAAGCTATTGCTAATTACTTGAAAGGAAAAAAAAAAATTTCTATCAATGTCTCTCAATTTTATAGCGCCAAAAGGAAGTTGGAACAAACTTTTTTATACACTGTAAATCCCAGTAAAATGCATTATTTTAATGCAGATAAGTGTATTAAATATGACGTCATCCATTTGATTAACACTGTAGTCACTTTTAACGCAGATCTAAGTGTGTAAAAAGTGACTACGATGTTAATCAAATGGATGACGTCATATTTAACACACTTATCTGCATTAAAATAATGCATTTTGGAAAACTGAAATTTACAGTGTATATATTGTTAAACAAGAAATTTTTTTTTCAATGTGATATGTTTCCACTCTTATTGTGAAGAACGATACTGAGTTGTTTTGGCAAATCCCTCTTAAATGTTTGTGTCAGATTTCATTTTTTTGCTCAAAAAATGTTATAAACATTTGGTTTCGATATTTCCTCTCTTATGAACTACACAACATTGCTAGCAACAATGAAGCAGATACTAACAAATACAATAAAGCATGTCTTAAGAAAGTTGAATTTTTCATACGATTTAATTTCTCAAAATCAACCTAACTGTAGTGTAGTTCATAAGAGGAGAAACATCCAAGGATTTATAATAGTATTTTACACTACAAGGGAAGAAAGTTTGAGTTTCCTTCCCTGCGCACCATCTTGCCCGAGGCGAAGCCTCGGGCAAGATGGCGCGCAGGGCAGGGCTCTCAAACTTTCTTCCCGTGTAATGTATACTATTTTTCTTGCTACCCGGTCGAAAGTACGGAACAATGACATGTGTTAGATAATAGATATTGATGCCTGCCCCGACATTTGCAGCATGAGCGAAGCGAGTGTTGCTGGTCGGGGGCAGGCATCAAATCAAATACTTCTACAAATAGAGCTTACATTTTAAACATGGCTATTTATTCGTATTACAATTACAAATATTTTTATAACAACTGAGATAATTTTATCAATTATAGCTTAGATTTTTTACTTCTTATACTTTACTTTACTTTCACTACACTTTATTGATTACAACTCTATGAGTATAATTTATTAATTAAAATTAGCGTTTAATGAGTGTGAACAAAATGTGAGGTTATATCATTGCAAGTAAACGTCGAAGTTATGGATGCACGCGTCGCGGGTTCTAGTGGTAGTATTATAGAGGGGATATTTTTACGTATGTATTGTGTGTCGGTGTACGCGGCTAAATTTTTACTCCCGCTATGCTAGATGGCGCGCGAACAGCTTGACCAAGGAATAAAAATTAGATTTTCTTCTCTGAAACCAGGGATCAAAATACGTACTTTCGACCGAAGTAGTAAGAAAAGTATATTACACTACAAGGGCAGAAAGTTGAAGTTCCTGCACTGCGCGCCATGACGAGGAGAAGCCGAAGGCATCATGTCGTGCAGTTTAGAGCTTTCAAACTTCTGCTCGTGTGGTGTATACTATTTTTCTTTATAGCCGGTCGAAAGTACGGAAAAACATTATATGTATCGCATCTAAAAAAATTGATGCCTGCCCCGACATTTGTAACACGAGCGAAGCGAGTGTTGCTGGTCGGGGGCAGGCATCAATTCATAAAAAAAACACGAATAGAATAACTTTTTTAATTGCACAAATATATCTTTATTTTCATCAAAAATAAAATAGAATGATATTATTATTTAATATTAAGTAGTTATGTAATAAAATTGTCATATTATTTAATATTAATCTTCCTCTAATTTGTCATTCATCTTTTTTATCATTAAATAACAACTACAACTTCATTAAAAAAAGACTAATAACTTTTGAGGTTATATGCAATCACAGTTATTAGCTACTACTGACTGGCGGCAGTTTTACGTATCAGTGTGCACGAGAGAACTCTTTCGCTCTGCTGTTGTAGATGGCGCGCGAGTATTTCTAGCGAAGCATAAATGTTAGGCTTTCTGCCTCAAAACTGAAGCCGAAAGCACGTACTTTCGACCAGGGTATAAAGAAAACGTTTTTTTAAGTAAGAAAATGAAATTTGACAAAAAAAATTAAAGATAAATTTATTTCATATTTTTCTCTGTAGAATCGAATGGTGATATTATTTTTCTATAATTTCAACTTTTTAATCTATTCGTTTAAACAGATGGAATTGACAAAAAAAACACGACTAAATTAATTTTTGAGCTTTGCCATCGATCCAATATTCAGTTTAACGGTCCCTAGTAGGAACAGCGCCATTATTGGTCCAGTATTGGGACTGGCAGGAAGTTATCATCCAGTAATGGTTTTGTACTCAGCCATGACTGGATGATAACTTTATTTACTGGAAAGACTGGCATACCCTACCAGGGGTATCTGTCGTAGATTTAGCATGGGTTTCAATAGGTTAATTCCACTACTTTTTAAAGAGTATTTACAGCTCACTGTACTTTCACGTTTCAAAACTCGTAGAGTTGAATGCTATGATTTTTAAGAGAATATCTATATATTTATGTGTATATTCTCACTTAAACTGAATCAGTAAAAATTACTGCAAATCAGTGACTATTTGCTGAATTTTGAATCGAATCAAATGATAAATTAATTAAGTAATTGGATTGGCACTAGCAATCAATCAATCACATTGTTTATTTGTTTAAAACAGTAGAAGAGACAATCAGGATTATGGACCACTTTTTGTTTGTATTAAATCATATTTTTCTCAATTAAATTATAACTAATCATCACTTTTCACAATGTTGAACGTCATAAACAAATTACAGCACTTTGGTAAACGGCAAGAAGCGTTTAAAAGTCGTCTACAAAAATGCCATTCGTCGTTTATGATGCTTAACACTGTAAACACTTTAAATGTCTAGTTGTTAAACACTTGGATTTGCAGTCAGTAAATAAGAAACATGAAAATTTATGTTATTTTCATGTTATATTACTGCAATATAAGTATGTTAACATATACAGTGTGGGTTTACTGAAGAGTTTATGAACATTTATTTAAAGTTTAAATAAAAAAAGAAATAATGAGTTTGAACTTCATGAGGAACACTATGTTTTAAAATCTTTAAAAGGTGAATGTTTTAAAATGATTTAATATTATTGAGTCATTTTTGAAGTACTCTAATCAATAGAATTTTTATTTAACCATCTTTATCACGATGATATCCATTTAAAGTTGCTCATTGACACCAAAATAGCAGAACTTTTTTGAAATAAAGCTTTAAAAAATAAACAATTTATGAAAAATCGGCAATAGTTAGCAAGGAAAGTAAAAATGGCGTCAGCATAGGGAAAATCGATGTCCACCGAATGCCTGTGGGTGCACTCACCTCCTGATACAGTCTCCAGGGTGAAAGCGTTGAAACGCCAGTGACCGGCCCTCTGCAGAACGCACTGCAACAGTTCAATAAAACACAATGAGTTGTGTACACAACAATTGACATGCAAGCACGAAACAGATGTAATTCATGCTATTTAAAGTAACTCATCAATAGTAGATGATAAACACCAACTTAGTACGGTAAGTTTTTTTATAAACATTCATGATTAATTATTAATTACTGCAATTATAACCGATGTTTACATACAATTACACATTCATATTATCTTCTTAGTCCTTGAAAATTAATATGTTTATTAATAATGAAAAAGTTTAAAAATAAAACATCTTGATCATTTTTATTTATTCAATTTTATTATTAACCAATTAGCGAATTTTTCAAATAATTCGTGTGTTGAGCTATTTCAAATTACATCAGTAGGAATCAAGAGACTATTTAAAAAATGAAAATATTTTTAACTTCACATTAGGAAGTTATTGTAATTGGGTCGAATGGTGAAATTTGAATTTTCAACATATCTCCACGTTTCAAGATATTTGCAAGCATACTGACTAATTTTTAGAATTATTTGTGTGTGTACGTACGTACGTATGTCTGTACGGATGTCAGCATTTTTTTCGTTTTCGATATCTCAAGAACGGATTGAGATATCAACTTCAACTAAAATTTATTCGAAAGATATTATTATAGAGAAGATCTGGAAGAAATTTGAACAAATTCGGTTGAGCCGTTTTTTTTATAACAAAAAAACTAATAATGAATAGATGAAAAGATGAACTATTTAAAATACCTTTAAGCGGAAGAATAACAATTTTATTCGAAAATGAAGTCAATATTGACTAGACATTATTGTTCACAAGCAAATATGACTTTCACCATTTACACATTGTTTACAACAACAATAATTTGTTATAAACAATTAAATAGTATTTTTCAATTAACTATAGCGTATATCACATGGATTTGGATGTCTCTAACAAAATAATATTATTAATGATGAGATATGACTCTTAACAATTACACATTGTTTCTAACAATTTGAATTTTTTCACGGAAGAATTTTTTGAAATTTTGATATTTGATTCAATTTGTGTAATAAAAAATTTTATAAAAATTTCAGCACAATTGTGCTGCTAGTTTTCGAGAACTATTAATCAGAAATAAATTTTTTTACTCTTATGATATTTTATTAAAACTGTATTACCACTCAATAGGTAAATGCAGATTTAGCAAAATATCACGTGATCTCCATAAGAGCCTGTGTAAAAAAATTAATTTCAAATTAACAGTTCTCAAAAACTAGCGGCACAATTGTGCTGACATTTTCATCAAATTTTTTATTATACAAAATAAATCGAATATCAAAATTTCAAAAAATTCTTCCGTGAAAAAATTAACGCTCGTACATCCTTAATTAATATTTAATTTTATAAATTTTTTTATGATGCATTTCTTATCGTTTTAGCTCTACTCTTGTCTATTTTTGACATTTTCAATAGTAAGTGTTGGGTTGGCAAAAAAGTAATGAAACACTCTAGGCGGAGTTGAACAAATTTTTCAAGGCACAGCCATCAGAGTTCTGGGCGAAAGGCATCCAAACTTTGCTGGATCGTTGGCAAGAAGTCTAAGATACTAATGGTGATTACATCATTGACTAAGCTTTTTGTATTGTAATAACAGTAAAAAAAAATATAAAACGTAAACCAAGTGTTTCATTACTTTTGTGCCAACTTGATATCTCAAAAAATAGGTGGGGAAGACAATTTTGTAATTAAAATATAACATGTAAACTCGTTTACCTTTTAAATTAGTGTATAAAACAAGAAGGTCAACACTGTAAATTTTAGTGTTTTACTTTAAAACATTAAAAGTGTTTTAATATGACGTCACCCATTTGACTAACATTGTCTCGATTTTAAAACATATTCAAGTGTTTTAAAATAAAACACTAAAATTTACAGAGAAGTATGGAAAAATTACTATTGAAAATACCTTACTTATTTCCGTCATCTTGAAACATTGTGTTTATTAGAATTATTATTTAATAATTAATTAATTATTAATTTAACTTAATACTTCAACTGTTATAAAATTCACTAATTATTTATATTTAATTTTTGATACTAAAATTCAAGTATTAAAAAGTCAGAATAACATTCCTTGATATTTCGATTGTCTTCTACAAATATATTCTTCTGTTTTAATTAATAAAATTTTTACATGACACTTACACCACCATAAAACTATGATATTTTATTTTTTTTATAAATAGCTAAAATTAATCATTAAATAATTGAAGTTTATTAAAAAACTTTCTAGTAATCATTGAAGATAAATGAACTTTAAAATTACCTGCACTTGTCCGTGAAAAATATCATCCAAGAGACCTGGTTCTTGACTTAATGACCTGGTAGTAAGTTTCTTACGCCTTCTTTTGTGCATAGTAAGAAATCGGCCAGTATGTCTTGTCCGAGTTTTCTCAATGTCCAAGTTATCCAAGAGTATTTGATCAGTTTCTGAATGACGTCTTTGAAGAATTTCTGGTTCATCACCGGATGACATATTTGCTGATGCCACTGGTGAATTACCTGATGATGGTAACGCGGCTTCCTCTATAAACAATTTATTGTTTATTATTATAATAAATTAATCAAAATCACAATGTACATGATTTGTTTACTGAAAGCATTGTGTTTATTCAAGGAATTCACTTCCTGTTGGAGATAATGTTTATGACTTACCAGATATTCTGACAAACACGGCATTTTGTTCAGCATTGTCAACAGTTATTTCAGCACTTGAAGTCTGTAACAAAAAAAGAAAGACATGAAAATTAGAGAGTTATCTAATGATTAAGTAGGATTGATATCAATGAATACTTTATCAATATTTTGGCATAACGACTCGGCCGATTGCCAATTGTGAAATAGGCCGGGCTGAATTAAGATTCGTTACGGTTGTTACGAGAGACGACTGACGTTTTTGTCGCAATAAATATTATAATAGACGCCATATGCATAGGAGGATAATGGCGTATACGTATAACAGCAAGCAGGATGTGTATAATCATGGACGTGCAAGTAAAATTATGATACATGATGATGAACTGAATGATCAAATAGCTCAACAGATTTATCAAGACCGTGAGTAGTTCTTCCAACATCTATCTACATATTTTGCATTATTCATCACCTCTACTCATATTAGTCCGAGTATGCGTGAGATTTTATCATGAATGCGATCCAATTCTTCGTTCATTTATACTTTTCTAGCACAATAACTTACTTACTGTTCATACTAGGGAATTTTCGCATTCTATAGAAAATTTAATGAGGTAAGGTTTTTTTGTTTTATACAATTTCTTGCCAATGACCATTTATGTTTAAGGTTGAATAGTTTTTTTTTTGTATAACATGAGGAAAACTTTACTATTCTGTAAGTAATGGATGTTTGCTATGAATAACATAATTTGACATTGTTTCAGTTAATAGTTATGTCACTAATTACACCCGTAAAAGAGATTTATAATAATAATAATATAATAGTAATCTTTATTGGCATTAAAACTTGGAAGTTCCATACAGCCGTTTTAATTATTAAAATTAATGGTTTTTAACTGTTAATAAATATTTGATAACAATAAAAAAGCCTTAGTTATGAAAACATTAGTGGTTTTATAAAGAATAAATCTTACTTTATCGTAAAGAAATATTTTTTAACAGTTAAAAAATAATTTTTAACAATTAATAAATCGGCGTTCGCAGCGCCACCTATCCTTATATCAATCAGAACTGCCATATTTATCAATTCACCCTTCATAACCTCACTTTTTGCCTTATGCATATCTTTTATTAATAGAAATATGCATAAAATAGAACCAAATCCTAACCTCATTCAAATTTTATGTCATTTTATATTAAAAAAACCATATAATCCACAATGAAATATGAATTATATTAATTACATTAAATTCCTTAATAATTAAGAAGATTTATTAACTGTTAAAAAATATTTTTTGTACTGTAACAAAGCTATTTTTAATAGTTAAGATACAATTTTATAATTATTAACAAATATTTCTTAACAGTTACAAAGCCTCCTTTATTGTTACAAATATCTTCTATCAGTGTAGAAATTGTTATTCCTAATTTTCTCGAGCACTTTGTTGACAAAATGAAAAAGTCCTAAAAATGAAATTGGAGCGAAAAATACTCGAAATTTTATTGTCTTACATTCAGCAGGAAAAATAGGATTTTTCAAGTTTTCCAATTATTTTTATTCATTTTTCAATATGATTATTTTTATCATCATTATAAAAAATTGAAGATCCCGATGTCACAGTTTACTAGGACAAAGTGATTTATCGTTGATCGTACATATAATTGCCACTTGAGAGCAAAGAGTTGAAGGAGGGTTCACTCGTTCGTTCGCTTCTATAGCGAACAAGTCTCATGAGAATTGGGATCCGCAACTCAACAACATAATTGATACTTGAATGTAGAAAATATTCTTCTACTTTTTCTTTATTTTATAGATTCAGCAATTTTTACTTAACCAATTTCTCTATTCACCGATGGCTGATAAAGAAGATTTTTCATCACATTTAGGGGAAAAAAGAATGCACTAGGGAATTTAGCTTATCAAATAGCAGATCAAGTAAACGGTGATATTGAATGGTTTATTGCTGAAAGAATAATTTATTTGTTTATTTAAAATAGTTCATGGATATCAAGTCTAGAAAAAAAATCTATTCAATGATTTGTTGAATGATTTTAAGATTCTAGAGATTTATCAATGATCATTGAAAAACAGCAATAAATAACTAGACATTGAAACTTGAAGGTTTAAATCCGGACTTTTGAACCACAGCTTATGATCGAATATTTTTTTGAATAAAGCCAATCTTGTTTGCTTTGGCTAGGGATTTTTCCTCATAAATGTGAAGGGCGGGTATTTAGAATGAATATTGCAATTTTGCATTGATTAGAACTACGTGAATATTCATGAGACTATTGTATTCTCTGAAATCTATTATTGTATTCAAATAATTCATTCGGATAATATTCTATTCAGTCAGTACACTATTGGGATCTAAATAATCCTCAATTAATAACTAAACTTCGACTAAGAAGAACCAGAAAACAATAACTTGTATGCATATTACTCTGAATAATAATCAATAATAATAAAAACAAAAACTTTTCAAAGCTTGACTGGATTTGCTTTGTCTTCTAAAATATTCTTAAAAGTGTGAAATTTTTTTATTTATCAATCCATGTGCAATTATTTTAATTAACTGCACTATTAAAATGAAGTTTATTTGATGTGAAATGCTGTTAATGATAATTTTATTTCAGTTATTAACGATATTTCAGTATTTTAGTGAGTTAAATTAAAGAGAAAATTGTCGTCGAATCATTATTTGGTTTTTGTTCATGGTAATCAAGAGAAAATGACAAATTATTTATTTTTCATTGAAATTTTGCTGAAAACAATTATTTGCCAGCGTCTTTACCATTATTTGTACTATAAAAATATTATTTTATAAAACAAAATACAGTAATTAAAATATACTCAATCATTTTAATTTTAGAGTTTACTCTTGCGGGTGAGTAAGTATATATGGACATAATTTTGTCACTAAATGTAAGTGCAAAGATGATAAGTGCACGTTTCGAAATTTAGAAGTAAAAATGTTTCTGTTTAATTATTTTACTAAAACACCTTTTAAATCTCAAGTTTACTGACAAGAACTCAAAATCCACTATCGAATAGAAATATTTTTTCGACGTACCTGCGCGGAAAGTTCACTTTTCCATTAGAAAGAGGTTAAACTTTCCACGCAGGTATGACGAAAAATCATATTCAGCCCTAAGGAGGACAATCAGACTAGTTTAAACCGGGTGTAATATGGTAAACACGTGGTTTAAGCTAGTCTACTTTTCCTCCTTAGGTGTGAAATATACTATTACTTCTGAATTTCGAAATGTGGATTTGTCACTTTCTGCACTTACATTTAGTGAACGAATTCTCTTTATGTACTAGGAGACCAAAGATTCAGTAGAAGTCACGGAAAAACGCTGTTCAGCCAAATTTCCTGACTAGCAATTGGTTCAGATATTTTGGATTATAATCAGATCCTATCAGAAGTTCTCCGTATGGTCATCTGATCAATTTTTCATCTAAATCGAATACTAAAAACCTTAACAGTTACCGAACGTTATTAAAATTAGCATCGTATTTAATGTCCTGAATTGAATCGTTCTAGGGAATTTTTAGTTTTTCTTTTTAAAAAAAAGCTATAAAATTGTAATTAATTTAATAATAAATGACTAGCCGAATGGATTAAGGCAACACTTTAATTTCGGGCGAGTTTAGCAGTCGTAAGTTCGAATTCCTATTGAACAATTTTCGGTGACATTTTAGCAGAAATTCTGTGAAATATGCTCAATAATGCATATTTCTTAAATAGAAGAAATATACGCGGAGAAATGTATAGTAAAAATTACCCTGAATTTTATGGTAATTTGGTAATACTGCAGTGTAAGGGTAAAAATTACTATGCAGTTTAGTAATTTTTACAATGTGAACAGTAATTTTTACCCTCACACTACAGTTTCACCAAAAAAAAATTAAATTTTAATAATTTTACAAAAAAATCTGTCTAATTCGGACCAGATTTGTTAAACTGATCCAGCCCATTTCACAGAAGTGAAACGTTTACTATCATATTCGGATCAAAAAGCCTGAACCGGTCCTGATCTCACTTGAGATAAATCAGATCCGAACTAATTTCTAGTCAGATAATGATGTGCACAATGAATATATGATCTAAGCACATAAAGTACCTCCTTCCATCCCCTAATATCAAAACTCGTATGGCTTAGAATAGATATAATTGACATCGATAGTAGTGACACCTATAGTTTTGCTACTCATAAATCCAGTAATATTTCTTTTAAATATAAATCACTGAATAAAGTTTAGTGCAAATTACTATAATTCGAATTCTATTTATAAAGGCTCTAGTATATTTTTCAATAATTGCACGCAAAGAAAAAAATTGCAGATATTGATCCAGACTAAGAGTACGTTCAAAGAAAATAAGTACAATACAACTCATTCTAGTTATTTTTTTTCTTCAGAGTTGCAATTATTGTTATACTTTTTTCTAAACAATAAATATCGTTATTTTGTGATCGAATTCTACTCGAAAATTATCTTTATCAACATTTGAATCTCCAATAAAAGAATCAGCAGTAAAAACAGTGTTTTTTATATTCGAAAAATATATTTAACCCTTAAATGCATCGCGTATCGAAAATGAAACGATAATTTTATGCTCTTTTTACACATTCATAATTAGGGGATTACGGGGCAAGACGGCTTTTTCGATTTTTGGTAACTTAGTGAGGCAAAATGGATCTTCCGAAGCTGTTAATACGAAAGTTAACATTTATTTGGAAATATAAGTATTACCTAAATTACATTATTATGTGTATAAGTCATTTTAAAATTTAAAAAGCCGTTTTGCGCCGTATTCTCTAACTAATCTCGAGATTAATAAGTCTGGATCCAGACTTAGCTGTGTAGTAATTGATGTCTTGTTGTATTATTTTCAAGTGTGCAGAAAAAAAGGGTGTTAGCGAATTGCGTGAAGGAAACTGTTATTTTCGAATACCGGGGCGTCGTTGACGCGAATTTATATATGTTGAAAAATTCTGTCTGTGATTAAAATTAAATTGAGAGAACTTTTCTTCGTACATAAAATATATTATGTCAGTGCATTATATCGGTAAATATTC